ACTCTGGAATGGAGTCGGAGGATCGCGCCGCATCGCCGATCCATCGGCGATGCGGCTCGATGTGGAGCCAGATCTTCTTTATGGAACTCTACGCCGAGTGCCGATGCATCGCCGATGTCGACGATGCATCGCCGATGCATCGGCGATGCATTCGCGATCCCGCGCGATCCTCCGACACCATCTACCCGGACCCTATTTAGAATGCATCTAAAAGCCACCTTGGGCCCTCATTGCGTGAGACACCAGAGTGCCCAGGGTCTGATAAAATGGGAGCGACCGCTTGTGGATTATCGTTTGGCTCCAAGAGCCCTCAGCGGCAGCGGACCCCGGGGCCGTCAAGAAACAACTCAGGATGAGAAGTGTTCCAGATCTCCGGGGGTCTACGCATAGATTAAGCATGGAGCGCCGGAACCGTTTTGGAGTCCTTCGAGGTTGTTTAGGTAGGGTCTGGCGATAACCTAGGTTATCGGGACCTCCTTTCCTGCCCCCACCACCCCTGGACAATTCTGACCCTGTCGGTTGCGCAGGCCCGAAGGGGGTGCGCAGTGTTGGGGTTCGCGGGCATGCGTAGGGCTTCCCAGAGGGAACATGTTAGGTTCGGCCAGCACCCACCCCGCCCCCCACTGGATAACCTGGGCCATCGCCGAAGAGTTAGAACATATCTGCTTGCGATAACGGGCGTGGCGGCGGGGAGGGGGGCCGGTGGTCACGTTGTATGCCTCAACAGCCAGGTGCAAATCGGAACAGGGTGGCGTGGTGGCTGAGGACGGGCTCTGCACGGTGGCTAGTATGATGTTCGCGGCTTGAGACTTGCCACTTGTCCTAAACAGAAGTTCCATGCGTAGCTCACCGAAAGGAGGAGGAGGAGGAGGACGAGGAGGAGGAGGAGGAGGAGGAGAAGGGATGAGGAGGAGGGATGAGGATGAGGGGGAGGAGGGCCGTGGGAGGAAACGGAACGAGGGCGAGAGAACACAGAAGTCAGGGAGGAGGAGGGATGAGGAAAAGGTGGGCACACGGGGCGGAGTGAGATGGCCAAAGCCGCTGGTTAAGCCAGTGCCCATCAGGACTCACGGACCGAAGAATTTCAGAGGACCTGCTAGGCTCGTGCCCACATGCGCACTGCGCTGTGCATGATCTCGGTGCCCGAGGCAAGCGGTGTTCGGGGAGCCCTAAACGGGGTGGTGACCATTCCGTGTGGTGAGTCGGTGGGGATTCGGGGTCAGCGCACGGTTTTGGGACTTGGGTCGTTCTCCGAGGATGTCTCGGGCGACTGGGGCCTCCAGGGTTCCAAGACCGTGCGATGACGGACCGTGCGGTGAGTTCTTTTGGGGGTTCCGAGGTCACCGCACGGTCTGTCACCACACGGTTTTGGGATCACCAAGGTGCCTTGGCGATCTCGTGGGCAGTTCTTTCGTTTTGACTCCGTTTTTCGCTTTAACGGCAGAACTCACCAGAGACAAACGTACCACCACCACCAGCTAGGGAGGTGGCTGTCCCACCCTCGCGAGCTCGTGGCACCTCGCTCTGGGCATGCCTCCAGAGAGCTCCCGGAAGGAGGTGCTACCAGCTCGAGGGGAGGGAGCGACCACCCCCCTAGCTGGTGGTGGTGGTGGAATTTTTTACTCGGAAGCTGGAACAAAGTTATACATTACCAGTGGTGGGCTCTCTTTGAACCCCAAGACTTTTTGAGGGTCGGGGACGACGTCGGGGTGGTGTGGTGTATACTTTTTCCCCGTATACAACGAAGAATGTATACACCAGGACCCCATATACACCAGGATCCGCTTCCTTGTGAGCGTTTCAGCGCAGGGCCGGAACAAGCGTTGTTGTATAGAGTTCGGTCCCCGATTTGCCTCTCCTGAAGAACGAAGACAGAACGAAGGCAAGCGAAGTTCAGCTCGAGCCCCGCACGATCCGCCCTGCCGACGGCCCTGGTGCCCGCAGCTGCTCGGGCGCCGCTCGGGGCGGGGGGGGCCCGGCCCTCGGCGGGGCGCAGAGAGGCCCTCCTGCGCTGGCGGGGGCCTCGCGGGGGGATCCGAGGAGGAAGTGGCACCCATACCTGTCCTCCTCCCTGTCCTCCTCCCTGTCCCCCTCCTCCTCCCCCCCCTCCTCCTCCTCATCCTCCTCCTCCTCCGCCTCCACCTCCTCCTCCTCCTCCTCCTCCTCCTCCTCCTCCGGATGTCAGGATAGCGCTTCTGGGTGCTGCTAACCCCACGAAGCGACTAAGAACCCCCGCCACCGTCCGGCGAGACGACATCACATTCAGCAGCACCCAGAAGCGCTATCCTGACATCCCGAGGAGGAGGAGGAGGAGGAGGAGGAGGAGGCGGAGGAGGAGGAGGAGGAGGATGAGGAGGAGGAGGAGGGGGGGGGGGGAGGAGGAGGGGGACAGGGAGGAGGACAGGGAGGAGGACAGGGAGTTACGCTTACCTCGTTTTTTTATATCCTTTTTCGGCCTCCTGGGAGGCCCTCGTCGCCACTGCTGGATCCGCCTCCCCGGGAGTGGTCCGGGGAGTAGCGGCATCGGGTGTCCTTCACTCGTCCCAGTGTTTTCGGCTTTCTCGCACAACAGAGTTGTTCCAGGGCCGTCCTCTGCCGAGCACAGTTGTGCAAGGGGAGGGCCTTTGCACAACTTTTTGTGCAGCCCTGCGTGTCGTCGACGCCCCGAGCTAGGGTCCTTGCACAACTAGCTGTGCAAGGAGCACAGGGTTGCGCAGCGCCTGTCATACATAAGCCCACGCAGGTACCCTTGCACCTCGGAGGAAGGCCTTCGTCCCCGAGCCATATGCGAGTTAAAATCTTCAAGCTCGAACGGCACCCCAAGGATTCAAGTGATCTGAATTTTCAACGGCGCCTCTCCATCGGCTCATCTCGGCCCGATTCGACCTCGTCTTTCTCTAGTTCCTCCTCATCCTTCTCCCAGAGAAGTGTTCCTGTTCTGGTCTGCCTGTGCCATGGTACACATGTGTTTTGGTCCGCGAGCGCTGCTTGCACCACGCACAAGACGCCGATCCTGCCACCGCCCTGAGCACCAATCCCGCCCATGTAGGCTGCACGTGGCAGTCAGGGCATACGTCGGCCATGTCACGATTCGCGCCACCGCCGTCTGGGAATGCCCAAGAGTGGCTCAGGTCCAGACGGCGCCAGCGCACATCGCGACGTGACCATGGGGGGGGGAGGCGGGGAGGCGGGGAGGGCCACGGGCGACCTCGCGAACATGCAAAGACTGGTTCCGTCAGCTGCTGTTTCTCGGCAGTCCTGGCCGTTTGCTCCACAGCGCCGCCCTGCTCGACGTTTTCCTGCGGCGGCTTGCGCCACGAGTTTCGTGCGTCGGGGTGCCTATTCTGAGGGTGTCTCTTCTGCCCTCCCCGAGGGGCGTGTCGCACGGCGAGCAGATGCAGGGGCTGGCCGGCCTCATGCAGGTCGCGGAGGGGAGAAAGACGGCATGATCGGGGGCATGTCGAGGGATCGAGGTTTCGAGGCTTGTGGCAGCGAGGTTCGAGGCTCCAGGTTCGAGGTTTTCTGGCAGTGTCGTGAGTTCTCTGCGGTTTCCCTGCCTCTGGGTGGTCTCCAGCAGCTGCGCCTCGCCGAGAGGCGTCTGGGGTTGCCCGCATCGTCCCAAGCGGCCGCCAGAGACCCGAGTGATGGCCAGAAAATTGGATGGCGAAGACTACTTGGGGGGGGGATAGTCCCAGCGTGGAAGGCATCGACTCCCAACCGCCCACTCCTCGCCGACAGGCCACCCCCAGTCGTCCAGCGCATGAACCCCATCCCCCCGTTCCCCGACAGCCTGCCCCGCCCAAGAGCGCGCGGTTTCGCTCTCGGGGGCCTGCTGCCGACCTAGGACGCGTCGCCGATAAGAGCTCGATGCCTCGCCCCCGAAGCCAGTCGCCCCCTCTGGGCGTTTTCCCTTCACGCCGATCGAAAGTCCGCGCAGATCTCTCGGATCTGCGCTGTGACTCACCTGGCGGCGCCGCTCCTGGCGCGTGCCGCGCGCCAGGGAGCGGGGCCCATCGTCGATCCAGGAAATCCGCGTGGACCCTGCGACAGTTTATATGTCTGCAGATGTTTCGCGTCACGCCGTCCAGGCGTCTCGACGTTACGCCGTCCGCAAGCATGTTGAACAGACATAAAGAGCATACGATAATAACGTGCACTAAGAACATGCGTCGCCCAGGCCGTGCATGATCCGCGTACACGTATGGCATACATAAGACCCAGACATCATGGATGTACACAAACGCCATTCACAAAGGACATACATCACCCACAAATATCACAACGCACACCAGGGCCAGGCAGCAATCACATACATCATTCACATGCATCTGTAGCATGCGCCAGTGGCGTACATCAAGAGCAGCCGTTAAGGATAGACACCAACAGCCTACATCAACAGCGCATACCAGCTGCAGACAGCAAGAGCAGTCACCAAGAACCTCCACCACACTAACACACAGTAGCGCATTCCAATAAGATCCATCAGCTTTACGCACCGAAAGCATTCACCAACACCCAGCACCACTACCAATAAGACAAAGCAAACATCAATAATGTGAAACAAGAACCGGCACCGATCGAAACACTAACATCGATCACATGCACCCAGAGCAAGCACCAATCGCATGAATCAATAGCAGGTCTCAGGAACACCAATCACGTACATCCGTAATATGCATCACGAGCAATCGCCAATTAACTACATAATCAAGTAGCGTACACCAATACTACACGCCCATAACATACATCAACGGTGTACACTGGAGCCGTACACCAATATCAGACACGATAAGCATTGATGAAGATCACGTGCTTAGAACTTACACCAACTTCAGACCTGCATAACATACGCTAATCATACACACAGCACTTCCAGCAGACAACAAGAGCAGACACCAGGAGCCTACCCCTTGGCTTGCTAAAACTCCTCAGCGGGGATTGCTCGAAGCAGAACAAGTCGTGTCTCAGGTGCTCGACGTGGAGGTCGATAGCATCGCACC